CTAGTTCTAGCCAAGCAAAGCCAGCTTGTTAGTAAGAACAGGCAGTTTGGAGCTCAAGTGTACTCAAAGCAGCAGGAACATTGGGAAATGTCCTGGATATCCTCAAAACACTGCAACACAGACTGCAAAGCTGTATAGATTCAGTCAGAGTTGTTTGGATAAGAAACCCAGTTTTCAAATCACAGCTTCCAAAGTCCATAAAAGAGACAGTATCTGCTATACCTATGTCTAAACTTTACACCTACATATGGCCCTGGACTTACTGAAAAAAATACACTATATTTCATTTTACTATCACTGTATATAATTTTACTATTTGCAATTGTCCAAAATTTAGAGAGGCAACTCCACACAAAAATTATTCCTGTATTAAAGAAAAATGGCTCAATAAGTTATCAAGTAGCATATTTTCTGATTTCTAAGAAACATGTCACCTAGATTTTTTTTTTCTGCTAAAACATGTGACAATTCACCAGAAGCAATCACCTCCATATATGTTTCATTAACAAAAAGTATTTTATGTAATGGAGTTCAATTGTGAATTTTAAGTTGTATAAGAATGAGAAGTTTGAATGCTTTCAAAATTTCTCACAGAATGTTTCAGTTGTTTTTAAAGACAAAACCAAAAAAGGAAGCAGGTTTGTTTTTCTACATTTAAAAACCCACAAATTACAGTTGCTTTCTTAAAACACCAAGAACTTCTGTTCTTTTAAATGGAGACTTGAAAGAGTGGGAGACCTTTTTGCCATGGCTCTGCTTTTTTTTAGCGTTATTTGTTGGCCATCAGAATTCATGAGAAAAGGAGGATAGAAGGGACATACACTACTAGAACTTGGAATAATTAGATTTCATGGTAATACTGTAGTCTAGAGCAAGGAGGGCAAAGTAAATAATAAATGAAAAATAAGCTGATAACCTCTCTATGATAATTTATGTACTTACTAGAAAGAGAAATAATGAAATACATACAAGTGTTGTTATATTACATATGGCACATATGAACCATTCACAGCCACAGGACCAATCTGATATATTCTGAAGACAGCTCAACCTGATCTGGCTCACATCAAGCAGTACAAAACAATAATTCTATATAACAGGATTCACAAAAACATTATGCCCTGGGGTGACTTTTTTGATGCTTATATCCCCAATCATCTGTTTTGTTTATGCTGGATAATAAGTCTTGCACCTTTAAGACTTGTTCCAAGAGCAAAGCGGGGAGAGAAGAAGCACGGAGTTTGTTATCAGAAACTGCACTTGCTCCCCTGCATCCTGGGCTGTGCTGTCTGCGGACAGACAGACAGCAGGACAGAGCTCTCCTTTGGTTTTAGTTACTTTTTAGCTACCTGAGGCAGAGAAATTCCCTGGACTGCGGTTTTTCTTTTTCTTGGAACTGTTTAAACCTGCTGTGGACTGAAAACCCAGAAGAGCACTGGCAGCTCACACCTGCAGCCCACTGGGCTGAGCCTGGGCTGTAGCATTTCCAGCGCTGGAGGGACTGATAAGAGACTGGGTGAGCTGAGCTCCAGCCCACAAAAAGGACTTTCTGAGTTTGTCATCTCTTCAGATTGGCAAGAGATTTTATTGTTTAATATTGTTCATTTTTTGCACTGGTGAATGCTTTGCCTGTTAAATAAACACTTTTCCCCACTTTTCTTCAAGGAAATTTTTCCTGAACCACCTAAGGGAGGGGCTGCTTGAATCTGCTTCCTAGAGGAATGCCTTCGGAGGTTTTCTCCCAAATTTGCCCTAAACCAGGACAAATACAATCACAAAGAGTGCAGCACTCCAGCATCTGAACCACTTCAAGGATCTAGCAAATACCCTAATCCATAATAGGATAATGGCTATTATCACTGTAACCATAAACACAAAATGCCAGCAGGTGCTGAACCAGCCACTGCTGAGTATAGAGGGACAATCACTATTTTTGTTACAGGCCAGGATGCCATTGGCCTTCTTGACTACCTGGGCACACTGCTGGCTCAAGTTCAGCTGCTGTCAATCAGCATGCTTGGGTGCCTTTCTGCTGGGAAGCTTTCCAGCTGCTCTTCCCCCAGCCTGTAGTGCTGCAGGGAGTAGTTGCAACCCAAGTGAAGAACCTGGTACTTCACCTTACTGAACCTCACCTTATTGGCCTCAGCCCATCAATCCAGCCTGGCCAGAACCCTCTACAGATTTCTACCATCCAACAGGCCAACACTACCTCCTAACTTGGTGTTCTCCTCAAATTTATTGTGGGTGCACCTGATCCCCAAGTCCACAACATCAATAACTTTAATAAACAGGACTGGCCCCAATACTGAAGCCTGGAGAGCCCCACTTATAAATAGCCACAAACTGGATGTGGTACCATTGACCACCACTGTGGGCTGTGGGCCCAGCCATCCAGCCAGTTCTTCACCCAGCAAAGCCTGCACCAGTCCAAGCCGTGGGCTGCCAACTTTTCCAGGAGAATGCTGTGGGAGACAGTATCAAAGGCCTTGCTGTAGCAACATCCGCAGCCTTTCCCCCATCCACAGGGTGGGCACCGGTCATAAAAGGAGATCAGGCTGGTCAAATAGGACCTGCCCCTCAAAAACTGGGCTGGCCGGGCCTGATCCCCGGGCTATCCTGCATATACAGCATATACATATACACCCAAAAAAAAAAAACAAGCAAAAAAAAAAAAAAGCAATAAAAAAACCCAGAAAAGACCCCAAAAAAAAACCCCAAACACATTTGAATGCAGCAAAGTCAACCACAGCACAAAATAATTAGGAATTGTAATATCTAGAATCACATCACAGAGGTTTTTGAAATCAATCAGGAACTCTTCTTTAATCAGTTTTCTGCCTGATTGTGCCTTCCTGCATGTCACAGATGCATATTTGGTCCTAGTCTGGTGGCATCTTTTAATATGCTTAGATTGAGGCTTTGCTATTTCCTGCCTTAAGTCAATGGATTTATGTTGTTTTTGGTTTTTTTTAAGGGCACTGGAGCTTATGTCTTTATTCCTAAAAGATGCAACACCCTTAAATAGACATTGCTTATTACCTGTTCAGTATCCAAGACTTAAACAACCATAATTTAAGATTTCAAGTTGCTTTACGAATACCTAACAAACATCACTTAGCTCTTACATCCTAAACACTTTAAACTTCAAGTTGCCATAGTCTATGAATAAGGCTTATGTGTTTTCCGTTATAGAACATAACTGTAAGTTATGATGTAAGTTATGTTAGAGCATTACACAAAGCTCTAAACAACAAGATTATGTGATTTTTGTTCAACTGGCCTTCCAAGCAGTGAAAGCAGAAGTAAGTGACCTAGAAGTATAGAGGTGCTGTTTGATCATATAAGTATATGGTTAGAAAAGCAAAGGCTGACCTGGAGTTGAATTTGGCAAAAGACACAAAAAACAACATGAAAGGATTCAGCAAGCAAATCAGCAGCAGAAAGAAGACTAGGGAGGACATGGACCTATGGCAAAATAAATAAAGGCTGTGAAGGTGGCTACACTTAATGCTTTTTTGCCTCAGTATTTAGCAAAAAAAGATGGCTCTCAGGAATCTTAGGTGCCTGAGCCTAGAGGAGAAGTCTGCAGCAAGGAAGAGTTACCCTCAGTTGAGGGAGCACTTAAAACACATAAAAGTATGCACCCTTGTAGCAAAGGACAACAGCATTTTGCTGTGCACTGGGAAGAGTGTCAAGCAGGCCAAGGAGGAAGATCCTTCCCCCTCTTCTCAGCATTGTTGAGGCCACGTCTGTAGCCCTGTGCCCAGCTCTGGGCTACCCAGTAAAAGGCAGACATCGACTTTATGAGGCAAGCACAGAGTTACAAAGGTAATTAAGAGACTGGAGGATCTGACACAAAATGAGAGGGTGTAGTACCTCACACAGATTGTTTGGATGTAATGTTTTATCATTATGGGTACAGCAACTAAACAAAAAAGCAAACAAAAAATGCAAATCCACTTGACAAATTCTAGTTGTAAGATTATATGCACAAGGAAATGTGAAAAATATTGTTATAACTAACCATTGACCAACCTAAACAGGTATTTAAACAAAGATTCTCAGCAAGCCCTGAATATGTCTTTCTGCTCTTGACATTTTCAAACATTTTCCACACAAATATGATAAATACACCACAAAAAACTAAAAACCTATTTGATTTCTATTTAATAACATCCGTATCCAGTAACCAAAAAGCCAATCTTCATTTATTCTGCAGAAATCGAAGAGAAAAGCAGATTTTTAACTAAGATTTTAAAACAGTCTAAAAATATCTGTAACTTCTGCTGCTATTTAATTGCATTTTAGTATTAGACTTTTTATTTTAGTGCTTGATTAAGATTTTGGGGGGTGGTTTTGGTTGATGCTTATTAAGTAGTTTTTTGAACTTAAAATTATTTTATATTCATTTGTATTCATTTATATTGATATTCATATTTTTATATGAATATCGCCATATGTGGGTCTACTTCCTTTTCATTCTTCCCTGCTTTTATAAAGTACATACAACTCTGCTACTGTTACAGTTACTAAACAATAGACTGTAAAAAAGTCACATAAAGCTTCCATAAACAGGTAACTGCACAATTCTGAAGAGAGAGATACTTCAGGACAGTAAAAAATACTGAGATTACCAGATTTAAAATACACAATATGTAAATTGATTCAGTAAAACTGCTGAGTAAAAAAAAAAAATTAAGAAATCTCAGTTTTCAGCTAGTTTAAAGCAAAATCCAAGGAGGCCAGCCAATCCTGGCTCCTTTGAAATCAATAGGAACATGTCAGGTTGGTATGGCAATGACACTGAACAACTACTAAGCTGTTGACATGGCTGCTTCCTCAAAAATTTTCTATACCCATTTTTGAATTGAACTCACTTAAACTCTCCATTTAACTTAACTGACATCAAAGTAACACCCTTCTATACAGCCACGTGACTTTTATAACACTTTGACTGAAATAAAGGAAATAATGAACATAAAGAATTGAAAATAAAATACCTGATATTGAACAGTACACTATGTGAGGAGCAATCTTTTTAATGTCTTCATAACCTAGACCCATTTCAGCCAGTTTCCCAGGGACAAAGTTTTCCACAAAAACATCAGATGCTGCTGCAAGCTTTAGAAAAGAAAAGGACAAGTAAAATATGTTAATTAGCTCCCAAAAGTTGAATAAATTCCTATGCAATTTAATTTTTAAATCTTGCTAATCAAAATGGCTCTAGTCTTCCTGATAAAACAAAAGCCTATAGAGATACATTTTGCCTGTCAGATTGTGCATTTCTGCAAACTTTATTATTTATTTATTTCTGCAAATATTAGAGATGCTGCATATCTAGAAAGAAGACTATCAAAATCCTAGAGTGATTAGACAAAACTGTGATACAGTTGAACATTATCACATTAATTGATGTGAATGGTATCATATCAATTTCCTAAGGCTTAACAAGTTTACAGAACAATCTTCACATAAATTCTTTCTACCCCCTTTTTCTTAAGAAAAGTGAAGTGATATATCTCCATTATTCATGTTTTATTCATAACAGAAATAATTTTGAAATTATTTTAATATTCAATTCATTGATTAGAATTACTATAACAAGGCCATATATCCAACTTCATATATGTAGAAGTAGAATAGGCAGCCCAACAACACTAAAACCTAAGATCGTAAAGTCACATTAAATACAATAGCACTGTCAAGTTCTGCAACATGACTTTTTTCATTGCTTTCAAATGAATGACCCAGTCTAAAAATCTATTGATGTTGAGATTAACATATAACCTTGATTTGCTTTAAATTCCATCCTCTCTTATAAAAATTATAAGCAGATATACATATGCAAATTTCACTAAGACTAACACAAGTTGACTCCTGAAGCATGAGAACAACACGTTAAAAGACAGATGTATGCCTTGAGGTACTTGCAAGCTTTCTGCCTGGTAAATTGTGTGGGGTATGTGCGAGTGCACAGGAATTTAAGAAATGTTTCCTGACAGGTACACATGTTTGTGCACCCATTTTTAAGCATAACTGGTGTATTAATTGCTTAATGCTATTTGCAGCCAATCAAGGAATCACAGTCTCTGAAACTGCCATATCACTGTGTAATTAGATGTATAGTGTGTTAAACAAGATCCTATAAACTAATGACATCATAACAGAAATCACAATGCATTTTTGAAAGATCAAGTTAAGGAGGTTTTATTTTCTATTTAAATCCATCACAGTTCATACATAAATACTTTACAAAATGGTAATGCTACAGCTTTAGCCTAGTTGATACAAGAGATGAAATTGGTTACAACTTGTGTATTGCTTTCACTGTGATTTTATAATCTATGGAAATTACAGTGATTGGATGCCACAAGCCACTGAGGAAGAAAGCATGACATACAGTATTGCAACATGAAAAGCACCATAATGACTTGGGCCCAGTTTAGCAGGATATACACTCTCAGAGAAAGGAGTTTTCAAGACACAGTACCTGTGCTGTGCCAGCTTTGCATCTAAAGTTTTAACTGGAAATAGTTTTTACTGTATAAAGGTGGCAGTCTACATGTAGCTATGATGCTCACTGAACCAACAATTCTGCCATTGTGGAAAACTGGATACATCCAAACTGAGGCCTTAAATTTTAGCTTTCATATTTTTCAGATTCTGAACTGCATTAGTATATAACTCTGAACTTATTATAATGTGTTAGCAAGTTCTCTTCACAGTCTAGTTAGACAAAACAATCCTTTTCCAGCCAGAGAACCAAGGACATCATTGCAGCTTCAGGCCCAAGAAGTATAAACAGCGAATTGAGGAGAGCAATCTAGAAGGATGGGACTTCATAACCTGAAGCTGTAATGGACAATTAACCCCAATATGTAAATGCACCAAAATGTATAAAACTGAAAACATGTGACCTGTTGTACATCTTGGGTGTAGCCATGGCCAGGCTCTTGTACTGCAAAAGCTGTATCCTTTGAAGGCCTTTTTAATAAATACCTACTTTATTCTTTTAACACTGCCTAGCATCTGTTCTAGGTAGCCTCTCAAGGCATCAAAACAAACTATGTTCTTAAAATGCACAGTCTTATTTGATTTTTGAAAATGATTTTTGAAAATCATTGAGATTTTCAGTCTCAATGGGGTTTTAAGTCCATTGTCAACTAAAATTTCATACTTCATGCCCTAAAAGTCCTCTAAACATCATTTGTATTTTAACACCTACTAACAAAGCAATACAACACAGACCTGACTTGGAGTACTATCTGTTCCAGAGAGGACACTGATAGGCTCAACATCTATGCATCAGGAAATAACCAACAGCACAGCACAGTTCATGCCAAAGTAGTCATTAAGTTGAATAACAAAGAATGATGCTACTAACTTTATAAAGGAAACCATGCATACCTTTTGGAAGTTTTGGTTGGTGTTTTTTTGGTTTGTTGTTTGTTTTGGGATTTGTGTGCTTTGTTTTTTACAAGAACTCTACAGAGAAGAATCTGCATAACAAAGAAGTATCTTAAAGTTTCTTAAAATGAGTTTCTGAAAATAACCAATAAATAAGGTTCTAAAGAGATACTACAAAAATATATCAGAGCATGGGACTGGCACATATACAATCACTGAAGAGAAAAAATAACTTTTATTCAGGAAGGCAGACAAATATTTGGAATGCAAATTAACAGCCAGCCAGAAACACTAGAAGGGAAGAAAGGACTACAAGTGACATAGAAAGAAATAAAGAAGTCACAGGAATCATTTTGTGGAAATCAAGTCATTATGTATGAAGGAATAGATGCTTGAAAAAATTTTTGTAGTGTTGTGTCAAAGGATGACAAGCAGCCAGGACTCCTGATTAATAGATTTCTTCAGCTCTCTTGATACTACTGACTAATTATCAAGTCTGTGCTTTTGTCATATACCTGAAGACTCTTTACTCCTGTTTTTCTAACATGATTCTAAATTGACCATTGCCCTCTTCCAACTATACAAAATATATGTGGGAATTAAAACCTATTTTAACCATGATACCTTGCTTAATAAAGGTAAATAAATTAGAATCTTATTAAATTTCTTTGTAGCTTTTACACTGGTGACACAACTGATACTTATGTACGAGTAGGCAGTGTCACAAACATCAATTTATACTTTTCATCAGCTACTTTAAAGACATGGACACTTCTTATCACAGTAACAAATACAATGCTGAACAATGCCCAATTTATACACCTCTGTCCTCATGATAGCAGAAGACAACTGAAAACAAAAGCCTATTATAAATAACTTCCCTTTACACATACTTTTTGACAAAACTCCAAACAGAAGTTTCATCTGAGATTAATAATGGAATGTCAAGACCTCTGCACCAAATGCTTTCAAAATCAAGCTGAAGGATGAACAACTCCACAAGTACCATAACAAACAGAGCTTCATCAGTTTTCAATGTTGCTGTATCACAGGGATGGCACTGATTTAAGGAACAGACAGCTATAGTGGTCATTAAAGCACTTTAAAAAATAATATTAAATGTAAGAAATTACTTTGTCACACACAGCCTCCTCATTTTTACAGCTAGTGTGGTAAATATTTAACAGATTATGCCACTTTTCCCTCTACATCATCTTGACTCATAGGCCCACCTGCCTTTAACTCTTCAAACACCTTCAGCCCACACATGTGGAATCAGTGGACGCTCTGAGTAGTTTTGCTTTCACTACTTTTAAATGTCAAATAATAAATTAATCTTCCATGAGAGGAAAACCTTTTATAGCACTTAATTAGAATATGACTAGTTTATCCAAAAAGATGTCTGTTATACCGTGCAAAATTTTTCCAAATTAAAATTTCTGCTTGCAAGTTTTTTAGAAGTTAAACATACAGCTCCATAAAAAATGAACAATAAATGTCTCTGTTCTGCAAAAAGAGAAGGCACTGTAGAATCTTTGGCTTATAATCTCCGGAGTATTTCCATATGAAGTACCTTTGCATAGCTAACAAATCAAAAGCATCAGAAAACTTAATGTATTTCCATTTTATGCAATATTCCAAATAAAAAGTACTACCAGACAAATTCCACCTACTGCATGACACATAGTGTCACTATGAAAAAGAGATTGGAACTGATCCTGAAACAAGCAGTAATAGAAGTCAGCTGCTACTTCTGCAGGGTTTAAAACACAGCACTAGCAAGCAGCGGATCTTGCATTTCTCAATAAATAATAAATAAAGGGATGACAAAACTCAAGTTTGACAAAATGTGATATTTAATGCTTTTATTATTTTTTCAATATAGAAATGGATCACCTTAAAAGAAAGACGTTGAAGGCAAATACTGAAAAAGAAGCAAATACTAAGTTTCACCTACAGGACAATGTTTTTCAGGAAGATGTACAGCAACTGAGCACTGCAACATCCAAAACACTGCATTTCCTGGAGCACAGCATCTCCCCCTAACTGCTCACTAATCAGTCCATCTTGAATCGTTCTACTGCAGTAGTACAGCAAGATCAGTAATAGTACAGCAGCAGCATCAGGAAAGGAATAGGCTACTAGACCACTTCCTCACAATATTTCATTTGAAGATTTTGATGACATTTTAATGGAAATTTAAATCTAAAGTAATTACAAGTTACAATGAACATTGAGTCCAAAAGCACAGAGTACAGGAGTATATACTGCAATTTACAAATTTTACTGCATACATGGATTTTTTTAAATTATCAAATTCATATTTGAAATGCAGAGTTTAATCCTTATTATTTAGTGTAACTTGTGAATCACTTAGGATCACAACAATACAAAATAAGGACACCTTGCATGCTATTAAAACCTACCTCTTTGATTAGCTTTACTCCTCTTGAATCCTTCATGTTGATGGCTATACTCTGGGGATTAAAAATAAATACAACAGTAATTTATGTGGAAAAATTATGTGAAAGGGATTATCAGACCATTCTAAACATAATCAACAGTCAAATTGCACACTATGGCTAATTTCAATAAATAAATTATAACACATAGCCCATCTCCTCCTGAAAAAAAAAAAATCTCTCAGAGAAACAAGCTGAACTATATCTCATTAGTGAATCAGACAAGCGCCAAAACCAGTCTGACAGATGGGCAGCCTGTTCACTATATATTTACACAGGACCCACTACTGCAAGTACATAGGGGGACACCAGAAACATTTGTTTTAATGGTAATAAGCCAATAAACAATTCGGGTATGTCATGAAACTTCATGTTAAGTTTCAAAAGCTAGATTTAGCCACCCTCACCCATCACAGCACTCTTCCTGCCAGCTAACACAGGTCAGCTGAGCTGATGCCCCTGAAAAAAATGATCACTCCAATAAAATACCCCTCGCTTTCAGCAGGTTTCATTTTCAGTTAATTAGCACGAGCAACTGAAGACCATCAGGAGCACTCTTGCTTTTTCATTTGGCCTCAGCTGCCCACAGCACCGTACCAGAGATTTGTAACCTTTGTTGTTCTAAAAACAAACCTTTTTGTAAAAACAAACCTATTTGTAACCTTTGTTGTTCTAAAAATTAATGGATTTATTAATCGTAACATTAGGTCAAAGTAAGTATCGCTCCATTATGTATGTTAAGAATAAAAATTAAGAAGTGTTATATATTCAGTTATAATTACAGAAAACATAGGCCCATGTTCACTTCCACACCCCATTTACCTTTTTATTTCTATTGACACTGAGAAAATAAACACTTTCTGTCCCAAGAAAAGGTGGGCCCCAGGCTCTTGTGTCATCACCAGCTCCTGAAAGAAATACCATCACAGATATATGCCAAATATGACACACTCAACAAATAAGAATAAAAAGCTTTTCTCCAATATCACATTTAAGTCACCTAAGCTTCATTTAGCAGGCAGGAAAAATATTAGTTTAACACATTTATTTTAGGATATTTATATCAAAAAAAGCACCTAAAAGAGAATGCAATTAAGAAAAATGAACAAAGTTTTTCTAGTGTTGGGATACAATTTAATCTTGAAAATACTAATACAGCCACACACCACTAGTGTATTTGCACATTTTTTGGTTGTTTTTCACTTGTGGGTTGGTATTTTAGTTGTTTTCTTGAGGAGCCTGGGGAAAGGGGAATTACAGCTCTTTTGGTAGTTTGTTTGTTTTAACTTAATGTAGAGCTACAATGCAATTCTTTTTAGTCAGTCCTGAAGAATTTAGTAGAGTCTGTTGCCTGCACAAGTCACACAGTTCATCTGGTCAGTAATCTATTCCTGAAACACTCCAGACATAACATCAAGATACCACTGACAGACAACTGATTAAGTTGCGTGCTGCACAACACCAACTAAAAGAAGTGCTTGCTATAGCTGGTGCAGAGCTCTTCCAGAAATCCTGCCTTAAATGTACTGCAGACACTGATATTACTGTATCATTTATGCTTAATTTCCAATTTTTAACCTTTCTTAAATGTCATGAAGACTAGCAATCTATTTTATATAGAATTAAAGCTAAATTCATCTTCAGATAGAATCACTGTCCTGAGTGTTAGCAAGCATGTGCATTCTTGTGTCTCTTTCAATATCCAGACTTCATCTACTTGTTAACTTCACATAACTGAAAACTTTCCTTAGTGAGGCAGCACGGAAGACTGATACAGAAACCCTAGTGGGGCTACTGTTCTTTTGGATTAATACTTCTATGAAAGTAGACATCCCCTCACAGAAATAGAGGATTACTCACCTCCTAAAATGTTTGAAATTAACATTTCTGAAGCTGCCCTTCTTCGATTACAAAAAAGTGCAAAGTTCCAAAAGCAATACTTCATACTTAATTGTTGACATTGCTCTGTTCCTACTACCTCGATGTTTGGAATGCCACCAGTGTTGGTCTAACCTGATACTACAAAACTGATGCACCTTTGCCTGGTCACAAAAGTGCAAACCTTTATAACAATGATCAGTAAATAAGGATGACCTACAGATCGATGTGGCAAAAACCTTTGTCAAACATTCATTGTTTCATTAAATGTCCAAACATTCAACATTTCATATTACAAATAAAATACTAAACATACTTCATTCTCTGTATCTTGGTTATATTATAAATTATTATAAACTGTTACAAAATATAGGGAGTGTAATATTGTTTAGTACCTCAACTATGTTCACCAACTAGTTGCAAGACTAGTGATACCAAAAGAGAGAAGCTTAAAGGAAAAAATACGTTACCCAATGTGCAGCTGCTATGGTATAACTGCACACCTCAAATGGGTAATGATGCAGAAAACTTAGAGCCAAGTGAGAGGACTATTTCTAAAGAAGACCCAAATGCCATGCAATTTGTTATTCTTCTTATATGTTCTTCCAAACTAAAAAGTGTAGCTATGCCATAAGAATGAAGCAATTTTTTACCAGTACCCAATCCTTAGAAACTCTGGATAGTAAGCACATGTGCTGAGTAGAAAAAGAAAACCATTGTGTTAAGCTAAAAAAATACACAAAATTTAATTAGAAGCTAATTACCCAATGCCCTTACATTATATATATATAGATAGATAGATAGATATAGATGTATATACATACACACTTAATATCCAGTACTTCTTATATCTAAAATAAATAGAAATCTTACCTGGTCTTTCCACTTTGATAACTTCAGCCCCTAGATCTCCCAAATTCATTGTGGCAAATGGTCCTGCAAGAACCCTTTAATATGAAAAAAAGAAATATTGTTTTCTTAGCTTTTCCATTCAGAATATTTGCATTTAGATAAACTGTCACAAATGATAGACAAAACACAAACCTTGTTAAATCAAGAATTTTCACACCATCCAATGGCTTTACATTACTAGTACCTGACAAGAAACAAAAAACAGTGACTTCAATCTCAAAAAAAACAAACACATTGTGTTTAGAACACCCATCATTCTCCCTCATCTCCCTTCCCTAATAAATGATAATAAAGCTTTCTGAACAAGTGGGTTATTAGGTGCATACTACATTAGTAAAGTCTTTCAAAGTTGGAAAACCTTATGTATGAAATTTCAGAACCTATTCTAACTCCCTAGCAAGTCTACAATAAAGTTACTTTATAGCGATACTTTATATGTGCCTTCCACAAACACCCAAACAGCTTTTAAAGGCTAATCTGAAGAAAGATACAACAAAAGTATTTTAGCAAGAAACATCAGAATGACATAAGCAAAAAGTAAGGGTACCAGAACAATGGGAAGCATAGTAGAATTCACAAAGTGTTTTGACCTGTGTAGACCTACCTATCCACTTGCATCACACACACACAAAAAGAATATCCCCTTTACAAAACTTCAGGCAGAATACATGAGCCAAGGAAACACTTTCAATGGCAGCTGCACATGCAAGATAATTATTGAGAAATCACAATGCTTCCTTCCTTTCTCTCACCACCCTTGCCAACCTGACCAGGTCTAAGAAACACCAATGACAATAAACATCACAGACACAGCAAGTAATCTCACAGTCTAGACCACAGATTGGCCAACTACTTATTTGATAGCATTAGGTTATCTTCTTTTCCCTCAGTCTTTAATCGAAGGCTAGTGACACAAACACTTCATCACCCTCTGAGGACAGTCATTCAGTTACTGCTTGGAAGGTGGTCTCATATCACACACAAAACAAAGGCACCTGGCCAGTAACATCACTAAAATAACACATACCAACTTGTGGCAAGCACCTCTTTTTGGTGCTTGTCCTGGTAAGAGAAAGATGTAAAACATGTTGGAGGGGAGGGGTGAGGGAGTGGGAATCAAACAAACCACATTCATTCAAAGCCTGCAGGGCAGTGTGGTGCATCACCTATATCATGCAGCAGTGCATGCCTGTATCACCTGATCCACATTCCCCCCATTAGACCTAAACCACCATTCAGTCACCGTTAGAACTCTCCTTCCTACATGTGGGAAGAAGGAGATTTATATCAAGGGAGAGATTAAAAAAAGGTACAGAGAAGCAGCAGTAGAAATTCAAGGCTTTTGCTGAAATATTTTCATTAACTGCACTGCCCTGAATGAGGACACTTGCATCCTATTGTTCATCTTTAAGAAATTTTCCTCCATTATTACCACTTGCTCCAGGGAGATTTCCATTTAACACGTTTTGTGCTTTAATACAATATGCAGACCAAGCAGCATGTTGAAAACATGCACATCTGAGGATGACCATGTGTTTTGCACTTTCAAAGCCTTTAGGAAAATCTCAGGCTGTTATTCCTCTTCAGTGCTCCACACCCCCATGGGTTCCAGACATTGGAAAACAGTTGTGCCAGGTAAACATCACAGACCCTCCAATATAACTTCAGTTTTATGAAGCTGGATGCACAATTTTCCCCACAAAAACACTACTCTTTTTTTCAAAATTATGTAAAAAGCTTTACTGAAGATCCTCAAAAATTAAAAATATGTCATTTCAGTTAAAAAAGGTCCACCTTCCTCTATTATTGCCACACCTTTAGCTCACCTATTCTCATCCTGAAACAATATTTAGGGCTACTCACAGATACACTACCAAAGAATAATAGCAACTCTTCAGAGCCAACAGGTTCTCTACCTGCAGTCAAGTTGTAGGAATCCATAAAGATATTTCCAAAAAAATCCTGAAAAATGTGAAGATTAGACTGTAAATATGTATTTATGCATAACTAAAACTGATGAACCCTTACTAATTATCATATCACTCACATTATGGCATCATCTAATGTCCAGGGGTTAGGATTCTTCCATAGCTGGAACAGAATAGGAGAGCACAACTGTTGCTCTGAAGACAAACAGACCATTGTGATTTAATTTTTTTAATGCCAGTAAATAACAGATATCCACAATAATGAAGAAATGCAAGAAAGAAGAGAGATCAAAAGTTTGCTTTTGAAAACTGAGGAACGGACCTGTTAGTCTCTTCAGAATAGAACACATATAGTCACAAAAAATGTATATATATGAGCTGGATTATATATGCAGCGTGACACTAATTTGATGAAAAAACTGCAGTAGAAAGCCTTTTGACATCAGCAGTTCTGGTACATGAAGGCTGAATAAGGGAGGAACAATTTGTTCCTATTGTAGGAACAAAAAGAAACAAAAACACATCATAAACACGAGAGATCAGAATTCATCAGCATTAACTAGAAACATCTCCTGGGTTTTTACTTTAATCACTAGCTTCCTAAGAAGGCACATACCCAAAGTTAGACTTTGTTAAAATTCTGACCCAACAGTCCAACTTTTCTAAAATGCAAACTCACATTTTCTCTTGTATTTTTGCTTTTATTTATACCAGTAACTTGATGACTGAATGAAAAATCACTCTCTCAGCTCTAACTATACCCTCTGTGTAAACTCTTGATTTCCATGATGCTTGAATTTATTGTCAATTAGACTGTCATATGTATCTTTCACAAATGACTTTGATTAAGAATAAATAGACCCACTCACTCTCAATATGATTGACACTCTTTAGCTAAGCTCAATGTCTCATTCCAAGGTTGGCCTAGTCTAACAATATGAATAAGCAACCAACAGAGAAATCATTCTATAGAACAGAAATCAATTCTTGTGTCATATTCCAAAAATATCTTCTTTACACTTGTGACAGAAGAGGACACCTAGACGAGCCAATTAATTTTTGCAACAATGCAAATTATGAGATTCCATTCCAATTACTTTCAATTCCAGAAGACATGACTGCTGCACAATCAGCATTTTTTAACTTTATCCATGCAGTAAGTTATAATCAAGTCCATCACTACCGTGGAATAATACACAATCAGTGGGTACACTCCAGCCTGGAAAACACTTGGTATGTTCATAGTAGGAGGCAGAACTGCAAACTTCCTCCGATTCACGTGCCACCAACAACACTGTTATTATTTTTTCTGTTATTTAATAACAGAGACACTTGAAGCCAGAGTACGATCACTTTGTTACAGCTTGGGTTTATTTCATTTCATTCAAAAAAAACCCCAAACCAAATTAAAAAGCACAACTGTAGGCAGTTAGTTAGATCTTACAAAAAGATCGGGCCTGGAACACGGCGTGCCATTCACTAGCCAGGGCTGCCGGGAGAGCCGACACGCTCCGTGTCACAAGCGGGCGAAGTCCGAGCCCCGAGGCTGCCCGGGGGCCGCGCAGGGACCCCTCGCCAGCCCCTGCAGGAGCCTCCGCAGGTGTTTGGCGCCCGCCCCCCAGAGAAGCGGCACCAGCTCAGAGCCCGGCGGGAGCAGACGGACAGAGGGGCCCAACGAGACGGGAGAGAGAGGCGGAGGAGGAGGAGGAGGAGGAGGAGGGTGCGGCACGGCTCGGTACCTGCCGGGGGAGCGCCCCCGCTCCGCGCCCCGCCGCCGCTGCCCGGGGAAGGGGAGGCAGCGGCAGCGCTCCGGGCTCTGGCACTGCCGCCGGCAGCTCCGGGGCGCGGGCTCCTCCAGAGCCCTCCGCAACATCGGCTCCTTCTTCCCAGCCCGGCGCGCAGCATCCCCGCCACTCGAGACAGCGCTGGGCGCAGGCGCCGCCGCCGCCGCCCCCTTCCCGTGCCGTGCCGCTCCCGGGACAGCCCGGGATTCTCCCGGGACGGGGCCGCGCAGGCGCGGGCGGCCCCAGCCCAGCGCCGGTCCCGGTGGTTGCGGCGGCACCGTGCGCCTCTCCTGCGCTGCGAAGCGCTCCTGCCTGGACTTCATAAAGCAGGGAGGCGTCCTGCAGATGCTCGCGGCGGGAATTCCGCTGTTTGATGGCTGGAAGTTTGTACTTCCAGCCCGGCGTACAGACTGTGACCTACAACATTGCCAAGGTGGAATAAAAGTAGAAACCCTCCCGCCACTCCTCTCCGCACCACCACCCACCCCACGCAGGGTTTTCCGCGCTTACCAAGGTAGGCAGCCACACTGGATGCGCTCAGCGGCGCCAGGGAGATCCTTCCCCTCATTTCGCGGCCACTGTAGGTGCAGTATCACTTACACTGTAAGCTGTTTCTTCAGTAAACCGGGTGTAGTTATGGAAGGGTTAGCTTGAACTGACCTTTGAGCAACTCTTCCCTAAAGGAAGTACCCTCAGACTACTTTTAGTCTGTGTTAGGACAGAGTAGAAGGCTTATTACAGGGAACACCATGGTGTCTTCTTGCCTCTCTAACAGGATACAAAAGGCTGCACAGAGGTTCGGCATTGGTTTGTCAGAAATATGTGCAGATAAGACAATTCCTGTATTTCAAAAGCAGCTGAAACTTCTGACTGCTTGAAAATGAGCATGACGAATAGCACAGGCTTAAGACATGCCACATCTCAGTCTGCCTATGTGCCGAGGAAGAACATAGAGAAAATCTACATGACAGGTTTGTTGACTGGACGTGCTGTGTGTAATCAAAAGTACTACATGGATGCTTAAAGATTTGTCAAAAAGAAGAAATTAATCAGCACAATTACCCCAGTATAACTCAACAGGTGCACAACGGTATGTATTTCTAATTTATGTGGTGTGAAGAGGGTTTAAATTACTGTGCTTTTTTGGAATGAGACTAATAATTTGGCAACTTACATTGATAAACTGTCTTGCGTAGACATGGCATTCCTTGTGTGCACAATAAAAACTGATCTTCCAGATCGAAGGATAAACAAAAAATTTAAATAAGCAGGTTTAGTCTCTTTCCATTTTAGGATTTAAAAGATATTGCCTCATTTTTCACAGAGAGATTGTATAACAGTGGGGAGGTGAGTTCCCTGTGAATATAAACTTAGTCTTTGTCATTGTAAAAAAACAAACCAAAACCTGTTTAAAGCTAAAGAAAAGCAAGACTGGTATATAAAGCACAAAAACTTTCTGTTTATTTTAGTAGTTAACTTTTGTTAACTGCTGTTCTGAAAGCCCTTCTTAATCTTCCTATGTTGCAATGTCCTAAAACCGAGTAGTGCTTTGTTGTACTGACAGAAATCAATAATAATAATAAAATCTTTACAATTTTTTACAGCGTTGTTGAGGACTTGCATTATTATGCACCTGAGAATGGAGCCAGAATAGTAATAAATAACACTGTTAAATTGACTTTGTGCTAAATATGAAGCTCCCCTACAAAACTGCATTTTGCCACAGGTTTCTATGAGTATGTCTTTGCCTGAGCTACCACTCAATTGCTGACAGCTCGAACTTATTTGGAGGAAAACCCTTTCATTAAAGTGCTCTTTAATGTCAATGTCACCCTGTTTTTTCAATCTGCCGTAACACGTAGGCTCAGATTCCAGAGCAAAGGCGCACAGTAAGTATATCTGAAGTGACACGAAGTGTGAGGCAAACACTGGCTTTGCTTTACAGGAGCTGGTTTCGGTGTTTTTAGCCGCTGTAGAGCCGCGGGCATTCGCTGGCAGCCACGCTGAGCCCACGGACGCCGTGAGCCCCATCCGCCTGAGGTACCGGGCATTTCCTGAGACTACCGCTCCGGATTTCTCCTGTCCAGCTGAAAGCGCGCAGAACCCCCGGGGCCCGGCGCGCCGGGTGCCTGTGCGAGGCTGCCGGGCCCTCTCCCCGCTTCCCGGCGGGATGGGACGGGCGCCTCGCCTCCCCGTCCCGGAACGTTTGGAGGCCGGAACCTGCCGCCCGCCCGGGGGGGAAGGGGCGGGGGATGAGAGAAGAGCGGACGCGGCGCCGCCGCCATTGCCCGGGCTCCGCTCCCGCCGCCGCCATTCCCGGCCTGTCCCGGCCATTCCCGGCCTGTCCCGGCCATGTACCGGCCGGGGTTCCGCGCACCCACACCTCCCTACGCGGGCGGCGGCTTCCGGAGCCCTCCCTCCGGCGGAGGACCCCTGCCGCCCTCTCCGCGGGGCTACGGGAGCCCCCACCAGACGCCGCCCTACGGCCACCGGCCCGGGCCGCACGGCAGCGGCCTCTCGCCCCGGGGCCCCGCGTTCCACGGGCCCTTCGGCAGCCCCTCGCCGGGGGCGCAGACCCCGCGCAGGCCGCACAGCGTCAGCCCCCGGTACCCGGCTCCGTACGGCGGCGCCTCCCCGGCCGGAGCGCCTCTGCACCCGCCGCCGCAGCACAAGCGCTCGCCCGGCGGCTTCCAGAGGCACTTCCAGGTACGGGGCAAAGCGCAGAGGGACACGGGGAGGAAGGAAAGAGGGAGGGCGGGAGCTGCTGCTGCTGCTTCTAGGTGAGGCCCGTAGCCCGCTGGGGGAGGCCCACCGGGGCCTTGTGCCAGGGCATCATCCACCGCTAACAGGATTTTCAGGGAAGAGCCAGGCTTGAACATCACTGGGCAACATCAGCTTTCCCCCGCCCCTTTCCTCCGCGGTAGAGAGGACAGACAGAGCACAGGCAGCTGTGAGATGAGGAAAGGGAAGAGAGCCGTAGGCTGGCGGGTTGTGAAGACACAAAAGTGCAGCTTTCTTTTTCATATTCTGGTGTATGAAGGTAGAGAATTAAGCACCGGCCAAAACGAGAGCAGTCACCTTCCTGCCTCCCTCTGATCAGTTCTCTTTAATGCAGTGGTGAAGTGCGGTGTGCGTTTACTTTGCCCGTGTTATCGTCCATCGCGGGAGCTGTCCTATCCACACCGACTTTTCAGGGACGTGGACAGAGAAAAGGGAGTGCTCTATTAAAGAGAATTAAGCTGAGGGCATCTGTTGTGGTAATAGACTCTCATTTTAAAGTCTTTGCTTTGCACTCAAGGCTTCCTGAAAGCTATCTACAACAGGTTCTGTGAGTTAAGTTTTTTTGCAGCCGTGTTATTTGTAGCATGTGACTGGCAATGCACACAGGGATGATAGCTCTCAGGATAACAGCTTTATATGTATAACTGGCTTTATGCTTTATTAGCCTTAAAAGTGTAACAAATGACTCGTGCGGTACAATGATAATTTTTTTTTGCTCTTACTGATACTTGATTAAATATGATAATGAAGTCATACCTTAATAGAGATTAGTAAAATTTTAATGTACTTGCACTGCATTGTCATGTGTCCATTGAAGACTAGTATTCTGTTATTTTCTTATGATGCAGTTAACTCAGAAATCTCATAGTTGGTGGAAGGGGATCATTACAAAATCTATGCATTGTCTTCAGCATAACAGCAGAGACTCTCCTGGTATGGAAGCCAACAGATTGCATAACCTCAGTGCCTTTTGAAAAAGCCAAGCATGTGGCATTTCTGCTGCACATTTTAGAGGGACAATTTATGTCATTGATGTCTAATTTCCCTTCAAAAGATCACTCTTTGGCTGTTCAGTTAAGTGGTTTTTTCAAAGCCTGGCTTAGAATTAATTGAGCAGAAGAATATGCAGGAATCCTTTTGTGTTTAGTTTTAGTCAGAACTGTTTCATGTCAGCACCTGAGGACGGAAACCCTCCCACAGGCTCCATTCTTGATGTAAGAAACCTGACATAAAGTCAGGTTACATTCTGAGGTAAGAAACGTGACATAAAGAAGGTACAAGTTTGAATCCAATCTCAGACTGTCACAACATCTTCCCTTCTCCCCTTTCCTTCTTTAGACCTTGTGTGTTGTTTAGGTGCACTGGCCTGATGGCAGCTCCTTCAGAGACTCAAAGGATATTGAATGTCTGTAGCTTTGCCCAGGACTGAAGAAATGTGTGAGTCTGCACTGTGTGTGCACACATGAGCTGTTCTGCCTGGGAGGGCAGTAGAGGCAATCACAGAGGGAGTTATTCTCATAAACCATGAGTCCTCATCTGCTTTGGTGTGGGCAAGGATCTCTGCCCATGAGGCCATAAATAGATTCAGGTAGAAAGCCTTTCTGCATTTTCTAAGCATCAGGGTTCTTGTGAGGCATGTGCATTGTCTCCTCTCCTCTCTAGATCCTGTTAAGTGAACTCCAATGCCTTTGACATTTGTGATGCTACAGTCACTTTTGATATGAAAGTCTTAAGTGGCCCTTTAAAATTGCATTGGAAAATCCAAAAGACAGTTTATGTTTACTTTAGTGTTCTATTAATGTCTTGCCATTAGCATTCTGTACTCATTTTGTGCTCAAAGACTTTCATTCTTTGAAACAAACAGAAAACTTGAAGAAAACATACTGAGCTTGTTTTTCTGAAATGGCTTACTCAACCATTATGTGGCCAGTAGTTTACAGCACTTTCTGTTTTTTCTGCAGAGGTGCTTCTGCTTTATATTTTATCAAAACATGTTTCTGGAAACAAGGGCCTGTAGTGACAGGACAAGGGAGAATGCCTTTAAACTGTGAGAGTAAGTTTACATTGGATGTTAGGGAGAAGCTCTGTACTGTGAGGGTGGTGAGGCACTGGAACAGGTTGCCCAGAGAAGTTGTGGATGCACCATCCCAGGCATTGTTCAAGGCCAGGCTGAATGGGGCTTTCAGCAGCCTGGACTAATGGGGGGTGTCTGTGCTCTCGGCAGTAAAGTTGGAGCTAGCTGATCTTTAAGGCCTCTTCCAGCTCAAACCATTCTGTGACTTGTCTTTGTTGCATTTCTCATCTCCACTTAGAATTCACTTTGTGGTAATGTTTCATTCTCTACACTCAGCAGGAGCTACTGAACTAGCTGCTAGCAGCAGCTACAGAATGGTATGGATCAAAAATTGTTACAGGAAGTAAAAGAAAAACCACCCTTTTGAAATGGTACAGTTGTGATTTTTGTGTTTGTGCATATGCCAGCAACTGTATTTACATCAGGTGAAGCAAACTGATAAACGGAGTGACTGTCCCCAGTTTCAAGGCAATATTATTATACTCAGTAACTTTTTAATTAATAGCACTAAAAGCTGTGGTTTTCTACTCAAAAGAGAGATTGGTCATCTAGAGAAAAAGTACTGAGAATAGACTGACTTTTTTTAAGGAAAGTTCATTGAGGAAATGCAGTTTGCATTAGTGACAACTAATAGAAAGTTTTTTTAAGCCATCTTTGGTACCAGAGAGTGCCTCTTGCACTGAATGGTTTCACTTGTACAGGTAGAGCTGATTCCCTTTTCCACAGGTCTGTAGTGTAAATAATCAAGTTTTGGTTTTCTTCCCTAAAAAAAATTCAGAGGTGAAATGGCATATGATGATGACTAGTATTCTAAACTTAAATAATCTACATGCTTAAATTTAACATGTACTGAAAAGGCTGTCGATCTTGTATTACAGAATAATAAATTTCCTATATTTCAGAAATGCTAAAATGTTAGTGTAATGTCAATGTTACTGATGACCTGCATCATACTGTAGTTAAATTTAAGATTATTAAATAAATCCATACAAATGAGCCTTACCTTTGATTTATTTTGCCCCTTCCCTGAATACTGCAGATCATTATATCAGCTCATGTTTCTTTTGCATTCTGCAGATTAAACACAGCAATAAATGAACTCCACATTCAATCTGTTTTACAATGTCTAAGTTAAAAGGTCTTCATTAAATGTGGTAGTGTAGGGATGGTGGGGTTTTGTGTTTATTTAGGACAGAAAGCACTGGGTACTGCTGTTTCACTACTAAATGTGAGTACTTAACATAAATGTCACTGTTGCTAGAGGATGTCAGCTTATTCTAGGAAATTCCATGCCCCTTAGAGAGTTTTTAGATGTATTCTGAGGTGATTCTCTGACCCTCATGGGATTTGATACAGTATAGTAATTCACCACCTTTTAGAAATTCTTCTGTGTGGAGATTATCCTCTTAGCTACATAACCTAGCTGCAAAGAATCATTAGAAACTGAAAGTTTCTAAAGAGAAAGTGCTCTATAAATTAGACATGGATGTTCCCACATTTGATTATGTATCCATTATCATCAAACTTCAGGAACTCCTGAAAAGTTTCTTGTGGCAGAAATATGTTGAAACATCAACACGTTTCTGCCACGGCACATTAGCAGAAATAGGTTCAAGCTGTCTGAGTGAAATCTGTTCTTCTGGGTAAACATTGGGTCTTTCACTTATGGCACCATTTCTCAGTTTTGCTCAGAAATTGTTTCACGTGATCTATTTACATAGATGTTTTTACAAGTCAAATTCAAATACCATCACTGCTGATCCAAAAATCCAGAGGTGGCTGGGTTGTAGGGGAAAGCAGCCATCAATCAAGCTTTTACCCTGCTTTACAAAATCTGATAACCAGCCTCAAGGCATCCTGTTGCTCTAACCATACAGAATGCAATGGGCATGCGTGGAGATTACTGTGTATCTGTAGTATGAGTTGCTTAACTTTGGTTAAAACAATTTAAATAAGTATGGATTTAGATAAACATCACACATTGCTCGTCTGAGGAGAGCAATGTCCTTTATGTCACAGCACTCTTTAAGCTGCAGACTTGTAGCAGCTTTACAGAAGCAATTGTGATCCTTAATCTTAAAAAAAAGTCAAATATGAAAAGCTCCCTGCAAAAGTCAATACCTGCTAAATCACTGATTACCGCTGAGGTTGTATATAAAATAAAGTCATCTGTTCTCAAATTTCACAGAACACTGGTTTGGTTAAAGGAAATATTTTTTTCCCAATGAATTCTTTGTAGCTATTTGTGTTATAGAATGCTGTGTTCAATCTGTAAGTACTTAATATTTGACTTCTACTCTTTTTAATATTGTCAGCTCTCCCTCAGCCTCTAACTCCCTGTTTTGTTGTTCAGGTTTTTTTAGACATGTTGTTAACAGATTATGAAAAGTAGCACGAGCTGCTTTTCTGCAGCTGTATGCCAGAGAGATGTAAACAAGTATTTGGGAGAAGACTGTGGGTGGTGCTTTTTTCTTATCCTAGTAAATCATCACTTATAAGTAAAGTACATTAAAGTTAATATTTCCTGAGGAAGATGCAAGTGAGGTGTAGTAATTATGATTAACTAATCAGCTTCAGAGCTCTACTACAGTACAAGGAAACATTTTAGGGTTTTTTTTTAACTTTTTTTTTTTTTCTTAGTTTGAATTAGACTATTAAATGTTTCTTTACCTGATGGTTTTCTTCCAAAGGGATCACCCAGGACATCTACTCCATTTGGTACAGCGCATGGCAGAGAGAAAAGAGTGTCTAATGATGTGGAAAACTATTACAGACCTTCAATGCTTGAGGACCCATGGGCTGGCCTAGAGCCAGTGTCTGTTACAGATATAAACCAGCAATACAGCAGTGAGCAAACAACATGTACTGGTAAAAAAGGGAGGTATTTCAGCTAACACTTTTAAAGGCCAAATAATTCCATCTTGTCAGGAAAACTTTGGGACAGAATATTTACACTTACACAAAATGAACAATAACCAAGACCTTAGACAATACTTTTATTTCATCACATGTCCACCCTTTTATCCTACCTTTTTTTATTGCATTGGATATTTTTATGTATGGGAGGCAAAAGGAGTGGTAGGAAAACTTATATTTCTGGCTATGTGGAAGTGCCTACCAGCTCTGAAGAACAAAGTGTTCTTTAATCACCAGCGACTGATTTGTGACTGTTAAAACAAGTTTCCATATACTTACCTCTCCCATGCCAGATTGTTAGCCTTTTATTGTAAAGTCTCTTAGGATGTGGTATTTTTTATGTTTCAACATTTTTAGATTGAAATAACTTGGAAATAAAATAAAGTTTTGTAAATCGTTGTTTTGTAATGTATAAAGAATATTTTAGGAGTTTTGTTAAGATGAACACATTAACACAGTAATTCACAACACTGAAATTAGGTGACTTCTGTATGTGTGCTTGTATGCTGTAGTTAACATCTGGTTTTGTGCATAATTCTTTTTGTTAATTGCAGTGTAATGTGAAGTTGAAACATGACTTATAGCCATCTCAGGAAACAAATGTATTGGTTTTGGAAAGTTTAATTTGTTGAACAGTCTCGAGTCACAGACTTAATTCTGGAATTATTTGCTTTTGTGTTTAAATATATATATATTTGGATCAATATTAGAAATTTCTGGATTACAGTAACAAGTCTGTTGACAATTTAAGTCTAATGAACGCATAAAACATCAAGCTCAAGTAAATGCAAATGTTCTTTCTGGATCCACCTGCTAGAATAGTAAAGAATGAATGACAGGTTTTGTTACACAGTTAACATTAGTACATGCATAGCATCTTTTTTATCCATTTTATATTTTTCAATTATTTTTTATTTTTACTTAGAGCAAGCATCATTGCCAGGAGAATCGTTTTGTGTGTGTACATGCTGTATTTTTATACTGAAGAGGAAGGGAGTGGTCTGGGTTTTTTTAGAGCTTGTCTTTACATGGAAGATCCATGCTTAAATCCAGGAGTGAATATCAGAATGTAGAATAGAAAAAGACATAGTTCCAGCCGCAGATATGTTCTTAACTTGCCATGTTAAACCTGCAGTAGTTAGATATATTTACTGTTCAACATACCACTACTTGTTTGTTGATCTTGGCTTTTAAGCCAAGGTAGAGTGTAAAAACTTTGTTAAATAAAACCTTTAGTTTAGTTTTCAAAATACATGTGTTCTTTTAAGCTTCTTATGTACTCAAAACATTTTTGTAGTCCTGAGGCATGGTTAGGTAGAAAAGCACAGGAAATCCCAATTAACTGTTCTTAGTAACTTTGTCTTTTGCTGAGGTAGAATAGTCCTCTGTACTCTTTATCTGTTTCAGCATAAGATTTGTTAGGTTAATACTGCCTTCAGGAACAACTTCAAACTGTAAGGGGAGGTTAATATGTTCAAATGTGCCAAGTCTCTTGTATTCTTAGGACCACAATCTAAATTATGTCACTTGTGTCTTCCCCCAGTGGACCCTATTATTTTAGTATTATATCCAAAAAGGCTGCCTCAAGAACTGAGAACATAATGCATGCTGGATACAAGAATGGTTAAATCTTCATCCCAGAATCAAAAAATGGTGCCTTAAATGGCAGCTATCAGTATTGTTATCTGTAATAGGTACCAGCTAAACTGAGAGGACTTGACAAGTTGCAGAATTTATACATAAGTTAATCAACATCACTGTGAAAATTGAAGTGTCAAGTTTTCTTTCCATTTTTGTTTTTTAAATCTTGTCAGATGCTATTAAGCTTACAGAAAAAAAAAAGTTGTAGTGTGCTTAATCAAGTGCCCTGTTTTGATGCTGTTTCCCATGTAATTGAAATGGAATTTATTTTTTGCAATATTTGGTGATCTTGGATAAACAAATACGATTTTATTTAAGAGAGTGGATCCATGATGTGCTCTCAGACATGATAAGAGTCTGGGTTTGGAAGGGAGAAAGGAGAGGTCAGGGATTCCTGAGAGAAGAGAGACTGTTAGAGGTGGGACTTCTTACACAGTAGCCAGTTCAGTATGAGCTGCCCTTGCACATTGCAGAGATGGATTTTTCCACTTTGGCGCTGCAGTTGGCCCAGACATCAAAGCCAGACTCGTCTGGTAATAACTCTTAACTCCTGGAACCAGGTGTCAGACGTCAGTGAAGGTAAATGTTCCAGAAAGAGAACTGAGGAAATAATCATGAAACACTATTTAATCCATGCAGACCTTCCACAATGCTGTCTCTTAAATTGCTGCTTCAGTGCACTTCAGGATATGACTTAAAATTTTTAAGTACATCATACTGCTAAAGGCTACAATCATTTGGTCAAGAATCAGCACCAAAAACTTAAACATTATTCACCTTTCTGGATTCTGGGGGAAATTCTGTAATTGCAGTAAAATTTAAATATGTAATTGTTGAAGAGTTGTAAAATGCATGAACACATGTTCAGAACTATAAATATAATGTTCTTAAAGTCAATTTAAACTTTTCCTTTTTTGCCATGATATCTGTGAAGCTTAAGAACATACCTCCTCACCAGTTTTGGTTTTTTTCTTTTTACCATTTGGCAAACATCTGATGGAGAGAGGATATATCGCTTCCTCATTTGTTAATGAAGCACTTCATAGTACCAATATGACTCTGGAAATAGCATGTGATGACAAAATGTAAAGCACAAAATACATCTTTTTTTCATGAGCCCGTGAAACAAAATAGTGCTTATGTCTTGTTAATGAAGGGAGTCTTCTGTAATGAACACATTGGATATATGGGCATTGCTCTTTTCTTCAACAGACTTCATAGATTTGAAGGTAAGTTAGCTTCTTTTTCAGAAGTTTGGGTTCATACACTTTATCATTCTGTTTTGTTTGCCTTATGTTTGTCAAGCAAAAATTTAATTCACTTGTTGCTGTTTGCTCCTGTGTTTAAAAGTGAACTGCATCACTACTACATTAGCAGTAACAAGAACTTAAATCAGCCAAGAATATGTGTAATGCAGCAATACACTGGGTGGGTAGTAACCTCAGGATGTGCACTACAATAGTTCAAACTTCAGATTTGGGTTTTCATTCCAGCTTTATAATATGTAATATTCATTCTTCTGTGGCACTCAGTACACACATTGAAATTGTTAAATAATTTAGCATATTAAAATTTAAATTAAAATGGGATTTAAAAATTTCATGTTGAACTTCTCTTAGAATTAGAAGTAATGCATCGAGATGTAGCATTTTCCTAATGTCAAAGCTGGGAACACTTACCAGGTTAAATGTGTCTGGTCAGCAGAATGGATAACTACTTTTGCAGTCAGGTGGCTTATCTTGTTAAGGACATCTTTATGTGCTCTTAACATTATATAAATTATTTCAGTAGAAATTAGAGGGGGGAGAATTTGAAAAATGCATTATATGGAAATTCTACAAGTACCTGTTCACCTTCCTTCTAAAGAAAAGTTTTTTTATAGTGTGTTGGGTTTTCAGGTTGTGCTTTTGAGTAATCTAACTGAAATCAGAGGATTTGCTCATGCAACTGGGATGTGTAAGTATCTGATGTTACAGTTTGAGAATTCTGTCATCCATTGATCCATCAGTGCTTTTTACCAGCACTGCAGTTTATTCCTCTGCCTAGCAATTGCTCTGAATTAAAATTCATACATGTGCTTTTATACATGACTGTCTTGCAATGAATTAAACTCGTTCTTAGATTTTACAAAATTCTCAAGAGTAAAGACTGTTCTCTTTTCCCCAAAGCTTTGTGCTTGCCTTCCATCTTCTTGGAACTGGCAGAGAAAAAGAAGGATTGCTTACACTGATGGGTGAAGAATCATGTAATGATTTTCATGTCTCAGGCTTTCAGAAACTTGCATACCAATTGACATAGGGAACTAGATAAACGTTTTTGTCATCTGAGATGGTTCAAACAACTTTTTACAGCACAAGAAATGAAAGAAATCAAGTTGTGTTTATGCTTAACAGTAATTCAGTTTCAGCATTCACTCATTAATTTAAAACCAAATTATTTTTGCCTGCAGTAACTTCTTGTCTGTATGTCTCAAAAGGCAAAAACTGAGTTCATGTGTTTTACTGACTTAGAAATTAACAATAATTTCGCAATCTGAACTTCTGAATTTTCTTTTACAAAATTAATAACTCTTGAGTGTTAGACCTCAAATCTAGGCCTTCCCTTTAAACTATTTTAGATCTAGCAAAAAAGGCTTTATCTTATCCCCGTTGCTTCCTTGATGATAATAAGAAACCTTTGCCTCCTGGGCTGCAGACAGCTGAGCAGATGTTTGGTGTGTGGCCAGCCTTCCTGTCCTAGAGGCTACCCCTAGACTTTGGCCATTTCAGGAGCTGTTTTGAGACAAATAGTAATCCATTTTGCTTCACCAGCTCCATGTGGGGTTCAAACCACATCGGGGGTTGGTTAGTGCACATCCTGGATTTTAAATTTCATCAGCATCTTCTGCAGTAAAATCACAGGTGAATTCCACTACCCTTTTTCCACTCATCTGTGGCTGTTGCACATTGTTGTTCTGAACTAGTTGTGTAAACATTTGTATACAAGAATGTAACTCCTGCAGCTAAAAGGGGTCATACCAATACAGTTCCAGTACAGTTCCAAAGTGAAATTTTTAATGCTGCTGACCTACTATTATAGGTGCTATACTACTATAGTCCTACTATTATAATCTGCACCAAAAATCTCCATGTACTACCCTGCTTCTGCGTACCAGTAACCATGCTGTTTTATGCTGTATTAAACTACACTTAAATCTGGTATCCATATGTATTTTGCCACACTCTAATTGCAGTGTATTCAAGGTAGTTAAAAGCTGTTACTGTATAGTCAATGGGTTCAAATCTTGTTGTACGCATGAAGAAATTCCTATGAGTTCAAACTGCTGAACATTATGTCAATGCAACTGTTAGTATACTAGTAAAGGGAAGAACAAAACCTCTTTCACACTGATGGCAAATTATTCTCTGTTCAAGCATCACAGAGCTGCTGTTAAAACACGGGAAGAAGAATCAAGCTAATTGACAGCTTCTGTGGATGACTGCAGAGCATAAAGCACAGGGCTGACATAAGCTTTAAAAAGCACTGATTGCCAGCTAGGGACTAGTATCATCAGTAATTGGATTGTAAGCAGCAATTGCAGTGTTCTTAAATCAAACCACCACTTCCTGTGGCTTTATGACCATTTTTAGGTTAATGTATAAGAAGGCTTTGAGCTATATTCCTTTAACAGATGTTGAAAATTAATGTTACTCTTCCTACAATTGAGTTTACAGAAGAGACTGTCTTCATCACTTGTCTATGAAGTTTAGTTTCTTTACCTGTTTTTTTTTTTTTTAAGGTAAGAAACAACAGGATTTGAAAAATCTCAGGGATTATAACAAAGATAAAAGGGAAAATTAACATGTGCAAATGGTCCGAGAATACAACTTGAGTTAATAACTATAAGAAGGCACTGAGAATCTATTCATTACTTGGCATTGCGCTTCCTAAGGCTGTTTCCCTTGTCTGCAAATTTTTAATAGCCTCCTGATTGCTATGACAATTAAATTGCACTAAGGAAAATTACTGGGTTGTTAATTTCCACATGTTGGAAATCTGTTTGCGCACTTTGGGCAACAGGTTAAGAAACTGTGATAACTGTTTGCAAATGAATGAGCTACCAAATTGTGTCCCTGTTGGAACTGAAGACAGCTGACAGTACCGGGGTGTTCCTGTACTTAGAATAGTTTCTAAAATAAAATACCAAGCACATAGAAGGTGTGTGCAAAAACCTTTGAATCCGTGTTTTCAAGGTACCTATTGCATCTGGTTGCGTTTTCTGACAGTATTTAATTTCCTCTTGCAAAAATTGCTGCATGTTTTACACATTGGCTGTCCTGTAGCCTGTCATACTCACTGCTGTGACGTGAGGAAGAAATAATTTCTGTCTGTACTTCGTGAATGTACTACTGGTAACAGCCCAGTTTAGTTTCTGTCTGCTGTTAGATCATCCCAGTACACATTAACCAAATCTCTGTGGTCTTACAACTTGCAAAGTAGATTCTAGTACATTATTAAACATATCCACAAGGCTTTCTGTACTTTCTATTTCAAGCAAACAGTTTAAATAGACCTACCAAAAGTAGCTGTTTTTCTTTAACACACATCCAGCTCTATCCAGAGAAATAACTTAGGCAGTCTTACCCTAATTTTTTCCTCTCCAGAGTTTTCTTTTGTCTTTTTTTACCCTGCCTTTTTTTTTTTTCTTTTATTTTCTTTCTTCACTACTGTCCATACAGCAGCCATAAGTTAATGCTCTTCTGCCTTGGTTTTCCATGGAAATAAGCATGCCTTCCATGCCCTTTCCATTGGAATAGGCTCACTCCACCCTTCAGGACTCTTCTGGAGGGTTTGATGGAATCAGTGTCATCCGACCACCCAGCACACTCAGTCCCTACAGGTCCTGCTAGTTTACATTGCTGGAGATGACAGAATTATGACAAGAAGTCACATAGATCCCTGCTGACTCATCTAAATGAGCCTGCATTGGTTGAGTGGTGGACTTTGTTGTCAGATGTGCAGTGAGAATTGTACAACACAGACATGACCTTGCCATAGTGGCCACACTATAGATTTAAAAAAAGCCGCTACTGAACATGCAGACAAGTGGTGCTCAAGTCTGTGTTAAACATTGCAAATTTAGCAATAATAAAAAGGCAAAGTCACTCTAAAAAGACAACAGAAAAAGTGTGTAAGAAGAAGGCACAGGGCAAGTGTTGAATTTATCCCAGTTCTTTCTGGTAGCTTCCCAACACAACCATCTCTTAAATACTTATATTTCCACTAAGGATAGTTTCACTGACAGTACATCAAGTTGGATGGAGGAAAACTACCTCATGAAAGCATAAATTCGGGTATTCTTGCTCCAGCAGCCACAGGATGTATTACTATTTTTAAATCCATGAATGACAAGAAAGCAGAGGTGCATTTCTGAGAGAAGTGTGTTTGGTGGACAGCAGAAATAAAAAGGTTGTCTGCCTAGGCACCTTTCCTATTCAATATACTTAATCATTTACTGCCGTTCAAAAGGTAGTGCAACTTCAGTCCAGTGAAGAATTTAGCACTTACTTCAGTGCTAAATTCTACTTAGATGCTTCTGAACAGCCTGAAGATCTGCTACAGAGAAACTGCTTTCAGTCTTGAAACCTTTCAGTGAGCAGAAGGAAAAAGCAAAGTTCTGGTGTCATTCTAACTGTATTAGTTTATCAGAGAAAAACAGCAGAAAAACATCTAGGCAAAGCATATGGCTTTAACAGCAACTAGTCTGTTTCTAGGTAAGCATCCCAAAGTAGATAATCCAGTTTCAGGTCTGGCAAGGATCATCAGTTCAGCCAACGTGCCCCTCCAGCACCTCCTGGCATGGAGACAATGTAGTGAAAGAGTCTGCACCTCCAAAACCACACCATTTGCACACGTCGTTCTCAGTCATTGGTAATATCACAAAGCATCAGCACAGAACATGGGCAAGAGTCCAGAACGTATTAAAAGTGTCCCTGTAATAGACACAAAAGGGTAGAAGGCTGAAGAAAGGTAAGACCTGCATTCATTGCCTCACACTGTTTCTTCACAGGCTCTACAACACTGTGGCCAAGCCCTGCATTTTCTCTGGAGTCATTTTCCACAAGTAATTCCCAATATTCTTTCTGTGGCTGACACTCAGTTGAACCAGATATTTCTCTCTTAAAAGACTTCCACTCTTTGGTGACTTAAGCCATTCATATTTTTTTTTATTCTTAATGTATTGATTTATTATAAAATAAACATTTAATTTATGATTCAGAGCACAAGAAGATTTTTCAGTTCTGAACTATCACTGTTCCCCTTGTTCTGACAAAGTGAATACAACTGTTCTCAAATCATACAGATTAAGATTGAATAGTGTAAAATGTGTTTCAAACTAAGCTTGCTGATGGCTGGAGTGAGAAAGTTAATTCCAGTTGAGTTTTTCCAACAATGATTCTCAGAACGGGAGCTGCCTATGACCATCTTTTTTATAATGTTGTAGCAACATCAATTGCAAAGCAATTTACAAATGTACTTCAGTCTGTAACATGTCTGCTGCTTTTTCTGCCTGCAGTTTTCACACTCCTGCTTCATTATTTTTGTCCTGAGGTCCTGTTGAATTTTTGGTTACTGTTATTTCTTTTTACTAGTTGCAAGTTTTAAGGATCTTTCAAAATGGTAAAGAAAAATTTGTTTTAAAGTTTCTAGTAATATCTATACATACTGAGTTTCAAAGAGTGAGTGAAATTAATAACTTGGATGATTCTAGTTGTGAAGAGGTATGGGATACAGACCTTTTCAGAATCCATAAACTAAAGCAGTAAGTGAAATACACTTTTTACTGAGAAATGCCGCATGGATTCTGGTCAAATCCCAAATCTCACTGTCCAACAGTTGGTGGTAAAAAGAAGTATATCCTGTGAAATCCTCCTCAATGTTATGTCCGAACCTCATCTGGCAACTCCCATGTAAAACCACCAGTTTTGTTTAAACCACAAAAAGGACATTTAATATTTAAAGATTTGCCTTTATGGTATCCCAGGCAGAAAGAGTTAATTCACAGCTTTTTGTTGGAATTTCCCTCTCCTCTCCAGAGAGGTCTGTTCTGGAATCATGTAAACACTGACATCTGCTTGTCACTTCATCCTTATTTTAAATTCACAAGGATAGAAAGAATCCCAGAGGGAGTTCCAGACCAGACCACTTTCAGTCACCAGCCCTCCATGCCTTTGTCCAGTAAAAAGGCAGATGAAGTGCTGGGGCTCATACATATTTCATGAACCTTCTGGCTACAAGTTTTGTTAAACTTTGAAGTTAATTATACAATTCATTCTGTCTGAAAATAGTATCAAACCAAATTTATTTTTCATATAAAAAGTGGACAAAACTCTTATATAACCTAAGCGTGTAAAGGAAATTGTGAAGTACAATAAGCTTATGGTAAGAAGACCATTAAACTAGAGTTGATATCTCAAAGTTTTCTAGGCAAAGTCTGGTATTTTAGTGGAAGTCTCTTCGTCTCTTGTGCTTCTCTTTGGAGGTACAAACAACCTCTTTATATCTGATTCAGAAATCAGAGCTCATCTTTTAACTTTGCCTCTCTGTTACTCCAGACAGGCAAATGTGGAAGACCTGAGCAAATAGGGGAATAATGATTCTCAGGTGTAGAAAGAGCTTTAATCCCTATATCTTGCTAAACAAAAATTCACCTTACAGATGTAAACATTGCTTTAAATATAAAGCTAAACCAACACATTAATTGTATTTCATTAAGCATCAAATCAGTCTTCAAAGGGGATAACGTTATTAGTCCAACATTTTGCATATGGGAAAATGAATGAATAGCAAGAGATGTCTTTCTTAAGCCTTATAATTGTTTGGTGGCAGAAGAGAACCTGATGTTTTCTGCCCTCCCTACTGCATTCCCTAATCAATAACATTTTCAGATCAAGTTTCAAATGCATTGCTTTCCTGGGAAGAGGGATGCCAGTAGAAAGTCAGCCATGCTTTCCAACACATGGTAATGATATGTGGTAGCTGTGTAATTCTGTGAGCCTCTCTCTCACTCTCTGCTATAACTGTTAATTAAATGTTCCAAATTCTGATAGAGTTCTGAAAAAAACTCCTTACTTTCCTCAAGCACCTTTCAAATCAACTGTAGAGAATAAAAATAGACTCAGAAACATTGCTCTTAACAAAAGAATAAGCATTCAAGGACTTGGAACAGATGAGAATTTCCACGAATTCTTTGATAACCTGCATGTTTGTGTGCTTCACTCTCTCCCAGGAGAGAGTCTTCCATGGCCAAAATATGTATGCCAAATTATACATAATTTTTTAATGGAAGGTGGTTTTACTAAAAACCCCCAACATTATTTAAAAGGGAAATTCTGACACTGGAGAATTAAATGGAAATCCCGGCTGAAGTTAACAGGGGTTCTGGTTTTCATCCTTAGTCTAAACTAAAATCTGCATCGACATCAGGAACAATTTCAACCTAAGATAATAGTTTTAAGTTTTCATTCACAACACCATAGCAATGGAGGTCACAATCTCCTTAGAAAAGAAATATTTACTCTATTGAATTTCACTGCATATGGAAATTATTTATGCTGTTATCAGAAGCATAGCCCCTTCCAGTGGAAGATTCTCAAAAAATTATCATAGAGCAAATCAGTATTTAGCTCACTAGGCATTAATTTAACAAGACCTTTTTTTTTTTAATGACCAGTATCTTCATAACTGATTGATGCTTAAGCTGGTGCAGCACCTGCTCTCTCAATCTCCTGTGGTTCAGCTTTCCAGATTAATGAGTCAGAAAGCCAATTGTGAGAGTAATAAAAAATGTATTGTAATAAACTTTCCATGCTTCAGAACAGAAAAATAATCCACAAATTGATTTCCAGAGTTGGGGTTACAGGTCCTGAAGGGTTTTTTGGTTGGGGACTCTTTTTGGACAGGAGCTTTAAGTGACATCATCACTTTCTAAAGCATAGAGCTATCACCATAATTATAAGTCTTTTCATGCATTTTATTTTTTAAAAGCTACAGAAAATTAAGCCTAAAACTGTTAATGCATTTCTAGTAGTGGTCAAGCTGGCAAATGCTGAATTTATATTCCAGCAATATGTAATACTTCACATGATGTACATGACGCTTTGCAAAACACAGGGTGTATAAGTGAGTTACAAACCCAATTTCTTGCTTTTTATGACTACCCACAGAGTGCTCAATGACAGCTTGGGGCAGCTTTTGCCTTCCCATTTAGGAACAGTATTAGAACTGCTCTGAAGAACAGTAGGAGCTGCCAGCTTTCCCGGTGCACTTTGGAGCATCCTACCAATAAGAAATTGAATCCCATTTGTTGGGTCTGTTTATGTGCTGACAAATTTAATAATGCTGCTGTGGATGTGTTCTCTCTCCTGTCCTGTGAAATTCTTCAGCTGAGTTATAACGATGTGTCAAGGCATTACACAAGCAAATGGTGGTTTCTTGGAAAGGGTGGAGCCCATGTCCTGTTAAACACTTTGCACGGCAAAGCAAGTGCTTTTGCATTTTTCACATTAATATTGTCTTGTCAAGCTGTTGTCTCTGCACTGTGTAGAAACTTGGCCAGTTATCACCATTTCCTATAGCAGGAGCTGTTTTAAATATCCATCACACTTAAAACACAAGAAATAGATTCCCTCAAATTGAGTATCAGTGAAGCATCTATATTTGATGTTCTTTCTATTCTGCATTTGAATCCTGACTTCTTCCTATTAGCTGCAGCCTCTTACGTTGTCAGAAGGCTTTAAACATTTTTATTTTTATTTACTCAATATAACTGATCCCTCTCATTCTCGTAGCATTTTTCTCCCAAATTCTGTAGAGGAAATTTATGATTTCACTTAAATTTAAATGACCAGCTCCCTTATTTTATTATGAACCACAGTGACCATATTTAGTTCTGGATGCTCCTTACTCCCCTTCTGCTCTTGCCACCACAAACACGTCATGTGGATGACGTATTTAGACAGAAACATACTTTAGTCAAGATAGGAAGAAACCTCATATCGGGACTGCATGTCAAATAATGCAATACAATTGAGGGAAATACTTATTCAGTGCTTGGATTTACAGTTTCCCATAATGAAGGGCATTGTGTAATAGTTTTTACAATACAAAAGCTCCATAATACTGAAATCTTAATACAGGACTGAGCAGTGAAAAAGAGAAAAAAACCCAAAAAAACAATGGAAGAGGTTGCAAGGTAGCAACAAATGACAGACACTTAATGTTTCACTGGATACAAAGAAACAATTTGCATTCTAACAGTTGAGATTAGCAAGAAATACCCAAACCCAAGCTGGAGTTCCCAGGAGAAGGTCATCTCCAATTCACCTGATGCTAAAAGCTGAAATAAGGTTGAATTTCTGATAGAACTGGTCTGCAAAGTTCTCTTGAATTTGTTGGCTGTTTTACCATTATCCCCAAAAGGCAGCATTGTCACAGCAAGTACCATTTGCAAATAAAAATTGTTAGTACTACCTGTATGTCTTGTTTCACTGTCTTGCATAACCATATAGGCTTGCTTGGAAGTCTCACAGCAGGATCTGTAATCCATAACAAGAAACAGTCTGGGGAGAAAAATGTATATAGCCTCTAAAATCTTCCAGTTTAGAGTAATACTTTCCTGATGTGGAATTGCCAAAGCATCTGCAGGTAAGTTTTGAACGATTATTTACTACTCATATACAGCCTTAATAGATTCCTGTTCATTTCCCATGGCATCTGTAGTTCTTAGTCCATTCCCTACCCCCTCCCCCTGACAAACAATTTTTATAAAAAATGGGATTAAAAAAACTGCTCACAATTAGTCTTTGTTCTGCAAAGAAAGCAGGAAAGTGCCTGTGCAGTCAGAAGGTCCACTGCCTTCCTTTTCCTGAGGGCAAGGGCTCCAGCCCAGGGATGACATGAGTTTTCAAGAGTATTTGTGGGGCAGGAAAGGTTACAGGACGGCATATGGATACTTTGGCTGCTGTTTTTGTCTGCTGTGCACATCATCCTTTGTTTTCCAGTGTGGGGATATGTTTTAATTCTAGCTCTAGTGCAGGAAGGCAGGGAATGGCCTGCTCCTCTTCTGTAACTTCCATGTATTTTTTTGCTACTGGGTTAGCTGCAAAGCAGAAGTCCCAGTTTCTCAATCCTACATTGATTTTCAGGCAGTTTCTAACACCCAAACACTCTTTGAAGGGCAATACCAGTAAAGAAAAACATAAAATTAAAAAAACCAAAACCAAAACAAAACACTACTAAACCAGGTCTTGCTTGAAACCATTCCTGTAGATCCTTTTTGCAGTTGGTAAGGATGAAGGAGAATGAAAGCAAAAAAGGAATGATCTCTTCCTTACTTGTGTTCAGGGAAAATCACCTCCTCAAGTCAGGCTTCTCTGTTCAGTTCTCTGTGCAGCCCATTCCTTTCTCAGGGTGACCTGAAGACAGAGCAAGGAGAGAAAGTGACACCGGCAGCTCTTAGGGCATTGGTGCTCAGAGAGGCGCCCAAAGGCAGGGCAAGCAGACATCAGTGCTTCTTGACCATGGCCACCTGGGCAAATTCATGATCCTCGAAAGGCTGTAGAGAGTGTGCTGTTCCCCATGATGGAACCTCCTGACATGCTTTACACATTTGTAAAACAGGTCTGAAAAGAACTTGCCAGAGGAAAGAAAAATGTGCAGTAATGTCTACCTGTGTTAGACATTACTGCACATTAAACACTTGCTTCCAGCTATGCCCTTTAGCAATTAATACCACAGCCTAGCACGCAGGAGGGAGTACAGCAGAGAGACATCTGCAAAAGTCAAATACTAGCCACTTATTCCATCAAGCTACCAAGTTATAAGCTGTGCTGTGTGAAGTCATCCAAATATTGCCTATTGGTAAGGGCTGCTCTAACTGAAGAAAAAGAAAAGTTCCTCTCTCAAAGTTTCTCTGACTGTGCCTTCCCTCCATACGCAATAAAAAAAGCCCAAAATAAGCAGCCATAGCAAATAAACAACTTTAAAAGCAAAACCCTCAAGCTCCATCAAGGTGAATGCAGCTGACTGGCAAAAGCAAGTTACCCACATTTGTCAAATGAAGTTCTCTGCCCATGTTTACTGCAACTGCAAAATGCTCCAACTTTGATTTTCTTCCACATGGTGGGGGAGTTTGGTAGCTCTAATCCTGTTCATCCAGATGGCCTGTGAGGTTTTATAGGCATTCCTTACAAATAGAAGCAACCTAATCCTGGTTCAGGTAATTTAAAATAAATTTCTGTAAAACTGCATTGTTCTTTAAAGCTAGCAGGGCAGTAATTCATGGCTTTGACAAAAGGACTGGTTTCCTCTCTTGCCACCAATTTCAAAGATCCATTCCTTACTCCCTATTGCTACAGGCTGTTCTGCAGTTACTTGCGTATCTCCTCTTTCACTTGATGCTATTTGCAGCTGAGGATATCAACTGACATGCCGATCCCACTGCCATTATTACTGGTACCTTACTGCACAGCTGGCTACCCATAGGGCAGTAAGAGCTCAATGACACAGATGCCGCACCATTCTCAAACCATTTCAGGTTCATGCTCCAACACAAACCAGAGCCAATTTTGTTATGAGTTGCAATAGCACCTTTCATGAGAAAAACTGAGCAGACAGCTAGAATTGGTTATACACAAATGCCAGATCTGCTATATGCAAGTCAACACCCTGTGAAATACAGCCTGAGTTTGTCACCAGAACTGAAGGTCAGGCTTTAACTGCAGCTGTCACCAAAATATTGTTTCCAGAGTGAGGTGTTTTGGGCTGCAGCTACACATCTTGTCAGCCTAATGTCAAATGACACCTGTGTAACTGCTGCTGGCCCCTGTAACTTCCAACTGCATTTTCACTGTCCATCTATTGACCTTATCAAAAGACAAATGATGAAGCAGCACTCTGCCCAACCTCAAGTTTAAAAGAACGGAAGTTAACAGCAAGCGCCATATTTTTGGATGGAGGTATAACATTTATTGAAAGATTCAAAAGGTTTCATTAGATAACTAATACAGTAGGAAAAAACCGAGAAAAGGCTCAGGCATGCAAAGCACAGTTGCTTAAGCCAGGCTCAGTTCACAGTGTCTCATCAGACACGGAAAATACCTGGCTCTTTGGGTTTGATTTCCCATTGGTCTAACAGGCACAGCATCCTTTTTGAAGAGACAGTGGTGGAGAATATTCACTTCACCTCTGCTTGGACACTGCAAAGAAAAAATGTCATGTTGTCCATCGCTACCATCCTGAGCAGCTGACAGGTGCTGAAGGAGCAGCTTCTCAGCTGGCAAAGCCCCTGTCCCACACGCACTCAGCTGCTCTTGAGGCACCATCAGTGCTTGAAGGGATGCTCTACTCCCACATCATCCACACTGCCAGCAAAGGCTCACAGTGCCAGGCCCTGCAGGGCTCCTTTGAAACACAACTGGAGCAGTAAATGAGTTCTATTAATAACTTGCAGAATTTCAATACACTGAAAACACTCTCAGTTTAACCCAATGTTCTTTTGAAATACCATTTGACAATCAGAGAGGGAAAACAAGGAAAGACTTAAATTTTCATGTATTTTATTTACAGGCCGCACAATACATTTTATATACAAATGGCTTAAAATAACAAAGAGTAAGCAAGCTGAAGCATAACAATTTATTTTAAATTAAGTTGTCTCGAAATAACTCCTGCAATAAAGTTTCTTCACCCTGATAAGCAAGTTAATTTGATTTTAAGTCAACCCAAGGTAATTTTATTTTTAAATATAGAATTCAAATAAATTTTCTGGTGATTCCTCAATTTCATTACATATTCTGCGAATACAGAACATCCAAAAACTCTCAAGAAGGGTAATAGCCAAAATTTCCTCATGTAAAAACCAAAATAACAGAACAGACTGGAAAAATGTTGTATGTAAAAAACACTTGCATGTTTTATTAACTAAAAGAATGCAAGTAGTATGTCTGACATTCTTCTCTCTCAGAAAGAGAATTCATGGTCCAAGACCTAATTTGCCTGCAGACAAGAGGTATCCTGTGTTACTTCAGTTTTTACCACACAGTTATCTATTAAACTCATCCAACTGTAAACTTCACCAAAACTGAAAGCAAAAGGAGAAGAGCGCTCAAAACCGTAAGAACTTAAAACATGGCACTTAGTGCCTCTGCTTCTAGAAAGCACCTGACACCACTGTGGGATGGAGAAAATTTAAGAGACCACATTTTATGGAAACACAAGAAAATACAGAAGTTTGCTATTTTGAAATTATTTTTCCAAGAAATTAAAATAGCATTTAAGGATACATGCATTTTTATAGCTCTTCCCTAGCACTGCTCATTCTGTTCAGGATAACGACAACTAGTGATCCATAAAAGTGGTTTCTTTTTCCTTTGGCTGAATCTAAGCATAATAATAGTCTTAAGTGTTTTAAGTCATAGTCATGTGCAGTCCAGTTGTACTTGCTTTCTTCCTCTTGGTATGGCTAAAGACGACTTAATATCAATAATGAAGTACTTGCTATTTGATAGTCCATTATTACAGTATTTCACTACATTTATTTAGAAATACAAACACACAACACTTACTTTTCGATGTGGTATCCAGGTCTCTGTAGCTCACTTTGGAATTGCAGCACAGAAAACATAAACCCAAAGGAATGAGGGAGAAAGTAATAAAAGCCATGGCTCCACAGAAAAATAACGCTGTTTTCAGAATGTCTACTACTGTATCAAAAATGCAAGAGCCACATAATGTAAAATGCTAAACTAGTACAGACTCTGCTGAGTGGAGTTCACACATAAGGGTAAAATGCTGCCATAAGCACCTCGTCATGTGATTGAATTCAAAAGAAATGTTGACAGGTAGTACACAGGTCCAGTACAATTGAATGTGGTTTTTTCCTCTACTGTCCTTAGATCCAGGCAGTTCCCTAGCTGCTAACCTGCCCAGACACAGTTCCACATAGGGGAGAAAGGCTACAGGCACCAATCCTCCTGCCACACCCTCAAGGGCAGAGCTCTACACTTGCAACAGCCCAGGAGGAAAGGTGTCAGCAAAGAGCCAAGATTCCCTAGACAGCAGAGCAGGCAAACTTTTTAGAGTTATCACATATAGAAATATATTAACTTTCTCTCCAAATTATCCCAACACTGTTGTCCCAGACAAATACAGTGTTCAAAGTCACAGGCTAGTAATCCTTAAATTGGGAAAATGCCATTGTACAGTATTCATCTGGTACAGCATACAGAGTTTTGTTTCTGGAAGTCAATTGCTTTTTGCACCTCCTCTCTCCTTAAAGTCAAGATTAATTGTGCTGGGCCTGTTGGGGTTTTTTTCATGGCCAAGGACTGAAATCCATTTTGGTAGAACAATATCTAAAAGTACTGCCAGCCCATAAGCAAACTGCATACTCATTTACAGATGCAGAGGGGACCAACTTCTCTACATTGAATGAAGCTAACTAAATGACTTGAAAAATTATGTCCAAAAGGGAAGGTAGGAGACACAACTTCTTCCTTGTATTTTTGTATTGCAAGTCAATGAATTTAGTTCTCTGAGATTTTCCATTTGAACTTACCTGTGTTTTTAGCCAACTACAGTCTGCAGTTACACTTTCAGTGCAGGTGGGTAACCCCAGAGTGCACATCTTTAGCAAAATCAAGTGCAGATAAGCTTTGAAAGCTTTATTCTAGGAAAAACAAAACAAAACAAAAAAAAAGCCATCTGTGTCTACATTTGTGGGTCTGGGTTTTTTTAAAGATTAGTAAACAAAGAGCCTTAGCTGACACAGTCCGTATCTAAAAGACACTAATGTTTTTTGTCTTTAAAATTTTACTAGCAGAAAAATGCTATGGGGATGTCCTTACTCAAGGAAAAAACCAGTCCAGTGCACTGTCATGAATGCCATGAAGCTTTTGCCTTTCTTAAGCACAGACTATTCAGGTTGTAACTATTTGTTTCTGACCTGGCCACTTTAAAATTGGTCCTGGCCACTTTTATTTTCAGGTGGCAGGATTTCCTGCTGTGTCTAGTGAGGGCAACTGCCAGACCTGGGGACAGTGTAAGCAGCAGGACTCTTTCCATTCCTCATCTGCCAGATCCTCAAACACCACACAGAATTAGTGAAGGGAATTTCTCCATGCTCTACAGTGTGGGAATTAGCCATATATGAGTCAGGATTTTCAATTAAAACTAAACACCAACAGCTTTGGCTTCTATTCTGAAAATCCAAAAAGTCATTGACAAGACATTTGTGTAAGTAGAAATTTTACTTTTTAAAAAGTAGTTTTTAAACACTCAATTACATAAGGTACCGATTTGTCAACTGGATAATCAGTTGGAAAATTGTTTCCAATATGGGCTTTCAAGACATCTTTTTATGTACAGGCAAAATATAACCATACCTCCTCTTTGCAGGAGACTACTTATTGTCAGAGGAAACAAAAAAAAAGAAACCATGCTGGAAGTTGTAATTAGTATGAGGAGTGGCTCTTGGGAGTTTTAACTATAATAATCCTAGTTGTTCCGAGACACTCAATTCCAATATTAAAATGTTCTGTG